GCGATGCCCACAGCCAGGGGCAGGTGTTCCCGCTTGGGGCTGGTCCCGCTCATGCTCTTGTCAAGCTTGGGTATCTGGGTGTTGGGGGTTCTCGCCCTCAAAATCGTCCATCACGTTGATCTTCACATTGGGGTCCATGGTGAAGTGGGGAAGAATGGGGACCGACTTCTCCCCGGAATGCGATGTAGAGGCGCAGCAGACGAACACCTTCATCCTCAGACACTTCCCATCAGATTTTGGAGGGGCGTGGAGAGGTGGCCGGCGTGAAACTCGGAGCCCAGTGAGAACTTCTCCAAGAACTTGATGGGGCTGTGGAGGGTGTGCGGTCGGTTGCACTCTGAGCGCTTGAAGCCTTGGCTGGCGTTGCAGGTGCCAGAGCGGGCCTGGTTCACCATCTACAGCACGTATGGGTCCGCCCTGCCTCAGGGGCCGGCTCCACCCCGGCGCCCACCCCTGAGTTGTTCGTAATGTGAGCAGTAACTATGCAGATAATACGTCACGTTCACCTGCACGGTGTAACCTTCTCGCCACAGGCCCAGGCTGGAGCAGCCACCTGACCTGGACACCCGCTCGCCTGCTTTCTTGGGGAGGTGCACGGTCGCAGCCCCTCCCTCAGCCCTGCTCTTACTTTTTTTCTTCTTTAGATCATATTTGTATTTTTTAAATTATTAATTTTAATAGACATTTACAGAGGTTTTGAATTTCCATTCATTCATTGCCGCACTTTTCTCCCTTCCCACCCCTCCTCACCAGCTCGCTTCCCCCTCCGAAGAGAGAAAAAAGGAAAAAAAAGGAAAAAAAAGGAAAAAAATTCCTTCATTACTATACAATTCCCACGTCCCTTCCCCCCACCCCCCACCCCGAGTACACTTCTCTATGCACAGCAGCACCTGCTGATTGGAGCTGTTCCTGGACACTGCATGCCGGTTTCCCAAAGCTCTGGGCCAGCTGCGGTGTCAACAGCAGTGGAGCCCCCACCCTTCAGCCTAATTTGGTTTTTTAAATAAAAATGTAAAGGTGGCCAGTGGCTAGCATGTTGGAGTAAGGCAGAGTGGTAGAAAGTAAGGCCAAAGATAATAGGAAGAGGCCGAGTCATGAAGGACTTTACAAGCCAGCATGAGGTGATTGGATTTTACTGCAGATACAATGGGAGACTATTAGAGAGTTTTATGCGAGGTATTATAATCAGATGATTTAATTTTTAAAAGGTCACTATAGACTTCTGTTTCCTGAATTATGGCAGAAAAGAATTAATGAAAAAACCTTTGTGCTCAAAATGATAAAAACAAGGTTTGGACAAAATCTTAAGATATTTTAAATAAATTGCTGAGCTGACGAAAAGTAAGAATTCAAAAGGTCAAAGTGAAAACGTGGTCAAGCTTCTGGCTTGAGGCATTACCAACATGTTGTTGTTGTTGTTATGTGCCATCGAGTCATTTGCGACTCATAGTGACCCTATGTACAACAGCCCTAAACCCTGCTCTATCCTGTGCCAA